GGAGAGCAATACATTTTTATCACTAGCAGGTTTGGTTTTTTGTTTTGTGTTGTTTTTCAGTTTAAGGAATCATGAAAATATCCTGGCAGAACTGTAATTGCCTTGATTTCCTCATCCAAGCAGCTGCCTGGCCCTATTCCTTAGTCCCTGCTGTCAGTCTGTGGCCAAGAAGAAACAAAAAAGCATCCTCTAGTAGGAGGGTCATTTGAGGTTTTTGAGGGAGCCCTCCCACAACTTTGTGGCATAAGATGGAATTTAGAAATTATCAGTATTTCAAATCTACTAAAACAGACTTCATGGAAAATGATTGTTGATCTTAAAAAATAAACTTAGGAAACAAACTAGCATCCCCATAGAGCAAAGATGCTAATATATTTTCAGGAAGATAAAGCGACTGACCCTCAGGGGTAGAATACTTTTCAAAATGTGACAGTACAATGATCTTGCATTAAGGGTGATAAAGATGACCTTCAGAGTCCCAGAACTGGGGCAGTCTCTTTGCCAGGCAATTTTGATGTTGAACATTCAAGTGCTTGTGTTTGAAGTACATCGCTCTTCCTGGGGCCGAAGCCTGGGCCAGAGATATCAGTTTAAATGGATACTGCTTCGTTCAAACTGAGAATTTCTTTAAAACCATCAAAGGCGGAGAGCAAGCTCTGAAGTCAGCAGGACTCCTAGATTTGTGTGGTTCAAAGCTCCTTTTCAGATGGAAATAAAGGAGAGCATGAAGCTGAAATGAAACGTCACTCAGAGCCCTAATCCCACAATTGATTTAAGAAAATAAAAGTAACAGTAGCAACTAGTTAGGGGGCTCTAAATGCAAGTACATACATTGTTGTAATTCTGAATTGTTTGGAAACTTGAAGAATAAATGTTGCCCAAAATGCAAAGCCCAAGGTAAGGTACTGACCCAGAGCTAGGAAACTAAAAGCCCCTGTAACCATTGCTTTAAGAAGAGCTCCTGAGAAGACACAAAGTATCAAGTGCACCTCAGTTTTATAGCATGTGGAATGCGGAAAAACTTCAGAAAACACCAAAAGGGGCGGGAGTGGAGGCAGTGGGGGGGGGGGGGGGGCGGTGCGCAAGAATGTCTGTGTAAGGAAAATATTCCCTATTACATCTATTTAAATGGTTTTAGGAGACAAAGATGCCAACAGGAAATAACAAAGGATTTCTTTTAGTTAGACTTTCAAAAGTCCCTCACAAGCTATGTTACGAAATGTAGTTGTCCAGGACTCAGTAGGCTACTTTCTCATGGAAAAGGCAGAAGTTCACAAGACAGGAACACTGCGCCAGAGAAGAGGTGCAGATCCCAGCTTGGGACTGAGATCATCAATGGTTGGAGGAGGGAGCCCACAGTAAAACCTGTACTTCAGAGATGTTTAGCTCCTCTGACTAGAGAAACTATAAAGGAAAAAAGCCACTAAAAGATGGAAGTTTGCATGACATAGCAAGAAAATGGTAAATAAGTCTTAATTCAAAGATTTCATTTTAGAAGACAAATCTAAATGTGAAATACATAATAATACAAATATATGTATAGTAATGAGTTTCAAGTTAACAGCCATAAATCTAGGAAAAGGCTGATGACATAGGAAAAGGAGTCATTATCATAATTATACTTGTCAGCTGCTATGCAAATGGACCCAAAGGCTGCCAGGATACTGCAGACGTTGGGCTCTGACATATGTCAAAGGGACTCAAAAGAGCCTGGGGCCTTGGCTAGGAACAAATGACAAAGATTTACTCAAGGGCCTTAGAGTCTTCGTTCTGGGAGCCCAGCTAGGAAAAACCCACAAGTATTCAGAGACAGGAAAGCTGAGTTCCCGTAGTACAAGGTGCATTCTTGAGAATAAGCAGTCCTGCACTCTCAGCCCGAGGACTGGTCCAGGGCAGCTGTCAGTTAGCTGTCCAGCAGTCAGGACAACGGAGAGGGGTGGTCCAGAGGGTGGGGGCCAGAGGTCTGGTCATGACGGGTGGCCTGGCGGGGCCTGACTGTCTGCCTCTCAAATCTCCCATCTCTTTACAAGTGCTTCCATTGACTACTGAAAAGGACCGACTTTTACATCTCTCATTATTGCAGGTAATTTTAATTACTCTGCACTGGGAAAATCAAACTGGAGGCCTGCAGCCGCAGCCCAGCAAGGCTCCTAGCCACATCCGGAGGTCCTGGGCCACCAGCCAGCCATTACTCTGCAGGCGCTCCACCGAGCCTCACACAACTAGAAAAGAAGGCCTGCCAGAACAATAACAGCAGCAGCGATGAATGTCAAAGCTAAGGAGAAATTATTTTTAGATTTGCTATCTTGGATGATCTGTATCACTGCTCACATCCCCCTGGCCTCAAGAGAAATGTCAGCAGAGGGAACTCTAAGGACAGCAAGGCCTAGGGGAGTGCAGCTCATTCCTGGGCAGGGGCAGGAGGAGGTGTGGGAAGAGGGGGAAGGCGTGCCTTGCGTGGGAAGAGCTCTTAGGAGAGGTCTAAGTAAGGAAGACCACACACAGTAGATAGGACCATGGACTACCAAGGGTCTGGGCGTTAAACCTGGCTTTACCACCAGCTCACGATGTTTAATTACGTTAGGCCTCAACTTCCTCATCTGTAAAATGAGTTGCCCCCCACTCATTGGGTCATTGCCGAGATTAAGTGAGTTAAAGGTGTCAAGCCCTTGGGAGCATTCGAGGGCTACTTCCTTAAACACAGCTATTGGTGTTGATGCTATAAATCACCTGGAGGAATGAGAATATCTGTCCTCCCACGCCTGGGGGTGGTGGCAGCTCCAGCAGAACTTACAGTCATTTCCTCTCCCTCGGCAGCTTCTCTGGGTTGGGGGGCGGTGGGTGGCTGGGTTTGGAAGAGACCAAATCATTGAAGAATTGAATGTGTCTGGTCCCACCCCATCCTCACAGAGAAAAGGCATTTGTACAATACGTCCTTTAAGTTTGTGACTAATCCTCCTAAAAACTCTAAACCAACTAGAAACCCTCCTGAGTCTCCTTTGGGTTTACTTGGCCCATCTGCCTTGCCTCCTGTGGGCTTGCTTGTGAGAAGCACGGATGTATCTCAGTGCACAGTTACTGCTGCCGTCACCTGGCCTGTCTTGTCACCTCCATTTCTGTGCAGTATGAATAAGAAGACAAAAAAACTGTCCTTCTGGCCCCCGCCCGCCATGTCTCTAAGAAGGAAGGAGTAGAGAGGAGCAAGCGAGAGCTGCCGTGGGTCCCTCAGCGGTTTCACCCTGCTGGGTCCTCCAGGACAGCCGTGCGTCTCTCCCCTTCACACCTGCAGCGACGTTCCCTGGCAAGGAAGAGCCACTCCACAAAGAGAGGTTTGTTAAATACTAAACAGACTGAAGAGCAGCCAGAAAAGGGCGAGGGCTCTTAGACCCACCCCAAACCCTACTCTACCGGTCCATCCCCTTTAAGACTACAAACATCTGTTTGAAGACAATCCCCTCAGATGACAAGAGAAAGAGCAGGTGACACTGATCAATATAAATCCTCAGAATTCTATTCTCCAAAGGGAGCCTCAGCAAGCAAAACCCAAGCTCTCTGCATTCCTTCCAGCTCTTTCATCCATCCGCGCCCGTGACCCAGCTTTATTGCTATTGCGCACTATGCTATTATGACAGCTATGCACAAACTCCCCTCCCAGCATTGATTATAAACGGCGACGCAAAGTCACTGAGAAGAAATAACAGTCGAGCTTACAGCTACCATTAATAAAAAGATATAAGGAAATAAGAGATATCATTTGTAACTCTTGGAAAAAGCAAACCTCCTCCTCCAGTGTGCATGGCCTTGAATTTCTTATCACCCCATGCTCCACCGCGCCAGAGGTTTAGAACAAGCACAGTCGACCTACAGGTTATCGGTGTTTTCCAAATGCTCCTGCCAGTGAGTCAGCTGGCAAACCTGGAATGCACTGCTCACTCAGAAAGACGAGCTAGAACAGATACTCACTGCCTTTATAAAAATGTTAGGGACACGTTGTTCTGATGTGCCCCGTGAGGCCTTCCCACCAACATCCCCTGCTCTCTAAGGGTCTCCCTCAGTGCCTGGCACAGACCTGGCTCTCTACTTAAGACTAAATCAATATGGATTGACTGACACCAGTGACTTTTTTTTTTTAAATCCTCATGTGAGGACATGCTTATTGATTTTAGAGAGAGAGGAAGGGAGAAGGAGGGGGGAGAGGGAGAGAGAGCAAGGGAGAGGAAGAGAATGAGAGAGAAACATCGATGTGAGAGAGAAGTATTGATCGGTTGCCTCTAGTGAGCACCCCGCCTAGGGATCAACCCACAGCCTAGGTATGTGCCCTGACCAGGGATGGCACCTGCAACTTTTTGGTGTGTGGGATGACACGCCAACTGACGGAGCCACCCTGCCAGGGCCCCCAGTGACATTTTTACAGCTTCATTTGGAGTCGTAAGAAGTTCTGGATTCAGCCTCAGGAATGCAGACTGTAATTTTCTGTGAGCAGTTAAGCTCTTCACCACCGCCACCTCCCAGCTTAATGTTTCTCTTTAAAACTATGAGGTTGTAGGGGATGATCTCTCAGTGCTTCATCTGCTTTATGTTTCTGTGATTCTGTGACATACCACAAAAGCAACTCAGCAGTGACGGCACAGGGCAGGGCAGAGAGAAGCTGCCTGGGGGAGCTCAGGCTAGGGCAACAGCATCCTTGTGGCTCTACGGGCCCCTCAAAATGGTAACGGGAGTTTGACAGCAGGGAACCCTTTGTAGGCGGAGGTCATAAGCGATGCGCTGTAAGGGAAGGGCCTAAAACAAGGCTTTTTTGGAAAGAGCATGCTGAGAAAGCAACTGTAAGAATTCTAGTCCAGAAGGTAGGAAAAGGTGCACCACGTTTCTTAACAAGACGCGCCTCCCACCCTCTGACTTCCCCCTGGCCCCTCTCTGCCAGCAGAGCCAGAGGGGCGGCACCCTGCAAGCTCACCTTTCCCTCATTTCTCTCCCACAGGTGCCCCGGGTGTGGGCGTATGGACAGCCCCAGCAATGCCACCATGCCCTGCGGCTTCCTCCTCCAGGGCTTCTCTGAGTTCTCGCGCATGAGGCCTGTGCTCTTCCTCCTGCTGCTGGCTGTGCACCTGGCGACCCTGATCGGGAACCTGCTCATCCTGGTGGCCGTGGCCTCCGCACCCAGCCGGCCGCCCATGCTGCTGTTCTTATGCCAGCTGTCAGCCATCGAGCTCTGCTACACGCTGGTGGTGGTGCCCCGCTCCCTGGCAGACCTGGCCGCACCGGGCCCAGGCAGGGGCAGCCCCATCTCCTTCCTGGGCTGTGCTGTGCAGATGCAGATGTTTGTGGCACTGGGCGGAGCCGAATGCTTCCTGCTGGCCGCCATGGCCTATGACCGCTACGTAGCCATCTGCCACCCGCTGCACTATGCGGCTGTGGTGACCCCCGGGCTGTGCGCGCGACTGGCCCTTGCCTGCTGCCTCGGGGGACTGACAGTGTCCGTGGGGCTCACAGTGGCGGTCTTCCACCTTCCTTTCTGTGGCTCGCGCCTGCTGGTGCATTTCTTCTGCGACATCACAGCGCTGCTGCACGTGGCCTGCACGCAGAGCTACGTGGATGAGCTGCCCCTGCTGGGTGCCTGCCTGGTGCTGCTGCTGCTGCCCTCGCTGCTCATCCTGGCCTCCTACGGCGCCATTGCCAGGGCCCTGTGCCGCCTGAGCTCCCCCAGGGGCCGGCACAAGGCCGCCTCCACCTGCGCCTCGCACCTGGCCGTCACCTTCTTGCACTACGGCTGCGCCACCTTCATGTACGTCCGGCCCAAAGCTGGCTACTCCCCGCGACCGGACCGCATGCTGGCGCTCGTTTACACCAACGTCACGCCACTGCTCTACCCGCTCATCTATAGCCTGCGCAACCGCGAGATCACCGCTGCCATCCGCAGGGTGCTTGGGCGGTGGCGGCAGGGCCAGCCACGGGCTCAGAGTCTGTGTGCGCCCTGAGAGCAGCAGGGGCCAGGCCAGCACAGGCAGCTCTGCTCCGTCAAGTTGCGTCTGCCAGAAAGTGTCAGCATCAGGAACGCCAGCAGGGGGTACTCAAGGACCGGATTCAGGAAAAAGTACCTGGCAACGTGTCTGCAGGAGAGTCTCCCAGCAGTTGCTGCCTCCGCCACTTGTCCCTGGAAGAACCACCAAAGGTAGCGCGGCACAAAGCCTGAAACTGCCTCCGGTGCTTCCACAAGCACCTGCTGAGCTCTTCCCAGCCCTGGGGCCTGCAGCGTGGTGGGCGCGCGAGTGTGCAGGGGCACAGCGTATGGCCGCAGGAGCTCACCGGCAAGACAAGTATGTGTGTCCAAACATGTTCATGTCAGTGCTGCCTGACTCTGCAAAAGGTTACAAATTATTTAAATACCAACATGTGACTAAATAAATTATGGTTTAGCCATATCATGGAATCCTAAGCAGCTGCCAAAAAGGAGAAGGAGGAGGAGACGGGGGGAGGTAGAGAATTTAATCAGACATGGAACCATCTCTCATATATGTTAAGTGAAAAAGCAAGGTGCCTAATAGTGTGTATGAAGGCGTCATCCTTGATTCTGGCCTTGTCACTTGCTGTGTCCATTCCGGATGGCTCCTCCCTCGGGTCCTCCACAGCTGGCTCCCTGCCATGCACTGGCGATCTCAACTTAAACACTGACTCCTCACAGGAGGGAGGCCTGCGCTGGTCACCCTAGATGGCTCCACCTCTCTGCCTCTCTCACATTACCATGCCTTAATTCTCAAGCATCGCTCATTATTGGAAATTGTCTGACACTCTTTTTCAAGGCTTAATTGCCTGTTCCTCCCAACAGGATATAAATTCTGTGAAATTTGTCTACTTCACTTCCTGTCCTGAGCAGTGTCTGGTAGGTAGTAGCTGCTCAATGTTGACTAAAACAGTGAATTACTCAACATTATGGTATGATCGCATTTATATACATAAAGACATAGGATATAATGTGTGTGTGTGCCGTGTGCACTCACATGTCCTATATATTTTACACACACAAATACAACCAAATTCAGAGTCTGAGGAACTGATGGACAGACCTTTACTTTCTTTAAATACTTTCTTTATATACATATGTTACTTATACAATAAATGCTTACAAAATAAAAATAAAAGTTAAGTAGAGGAAGAGGCATACAGAGAGAAGTTTTTTTCTTTTTTAAGAGCAATAAAAAAAATAGGAGAAAATTGAAGATAACGTCACATTACGGGAACCAAGGAAAGGATGGCGTGATCAACAGTGCCAAAGGACACTACCATTTCTAGAATAGTATGATGCTGGAGCCAGAGATAGCGCTAGAGAGCTGCAATCCAGCTCAAAGTGCACCAGACTCATGAATACAAACCTCAGCAAAACCATGTGCGAAGATCTGGCAGCCAAACCACATAGCCCATGTCCAGAAGTACTGTCTCACCGGAAACCAGGCCATGTCTGCCGGGCCCCAGCCACCGCTTATACCTCTGCTCTTGGTTTTACCATTGTTGTTCCTGGATGAAGTGAGGGTCCCCTGTTGGTGGCAGGTTATGTTTGGCTGGGCTGCTCTCTGCCTCTCCCTCCTGCTGTGTGAGGAGTTCTGAGGTGGGAAAGCCACGAGGAGGAGGGTGGGGGCGCACATGTCGGGAAAGGCTGACAACCAGCTTAGGGACTGAGGTTGAGATCAACGAGACGGATCAGTCAGTGTTCTGACTTCATTAAAAAATAGTAATAATAACAACCCACTCTAGTAAGTGAAGCAGAAAAACCGTTGGAAAGGGATCTTCAAAAACCTGTCAATCTCTACGAGGGCTATAGAGTTGGGCGTGGAGGCAGGGAAGCCACAGCACACGGCAGGGCCGCTTCAGTGAGGACCCCTCGGTCCTGCTGCTGGGGACAGAGCATGCCCCACACTGGGGCTCAGAGACCAGGCCCCCTGCCCTGAGAACCTGGCTGCTTCCATCCCCTCCCTCATTACCTAGATGCCTACTTCTTCACATCACTCTTTCCTGCAACAAAATTATGCATGGGCATCTAACTAGGAAGTCTCCATGAGATGGAAAGAGGCAGCTGTAATGGGAGAGGGGCTTTCGGGGGAAGATGAAAGCCATTTAGGGTGATGTGGGGGAAGTCCTGCTGTGCGGTGCATGATTTGGGCCTGCCTCCTTCCACCCATCGAATTCCACGGTGAAACCAAGTACCCATCGGTGCACTGGGGTTTATGGTCCATATGGAGAGTGCAGCCCCATCATGGCCACAGGCAAGGGAAGGCGGTCTAGAGGGGTTCCGTTATGGGGTGGTTATGTTGCAAAATACAGGCCTACTCAGCTTTGTCCAATGTCTCTACTAAACCGGAAAGTCACATATCATCGATAAAATGTTTTGCTGTAGCAGAAGAAATTCACTCCCAATTTTTTTATAAAACCACTTTACCCACAATAATCTTAGAATTTTATGTTATTGAAAATTATGATATAAACTACATGTTCCTATAAGAATAATATTGGGACTACAGTTAATACTGTATTACAGATTTGAAAGTACCTGGAAGAGTGGATCTTGGAAGTTCTCATCACAAGAAAGAAAATCTGTAACTGTGTGGTAGTCAATGTTAACTGGACTTACTGTAGTGATTATTTTGTAATGTATACTAATATCATATCATTATGCTATACACATGAAACTAATACAAAAACTTTTTAAAATATACTGTAAATAGAGGGCTGGTTTTCCAACTAAAAATTGTTATTAAATTAATCCTCTACATGGCAAAAAAATATATATATGTTATAAACTTTTTAAATGAAGTAGTGAAATACTGTAATGCCTAATAAATTGTGAAAGGCCCCAAACAAGGCTCATATAGACCATAAAAATGTAACTTGATAGATGAACTTGACTTTTAAACATAAATGCTAGCTTTAATAATATTTAATAAACAGTTTTGTTGATATTTGTAGACTTTCAAAGATTTGGGCACCCCAGATATCTTAAAATCCTTTTTCAACAATGTCTGAAATAGATTATCTTCTTTTCTCTGAATAAACATCTCTTTTATAAGCAGAAGCCTTCAAATCAATCCACCAACTTCACTGCTACCTCAGGTTGGTGGAATAGGATTTTAAATACATGTCTGACGGTTGTGATATTAGCAATGATTACAGCACTTTTCCCACCCGAATTTTTCAGAGCCAGCTGACTCCAAGCCTTGGAGTCACAGCCCTTGGAATCAGACTGTGGAAATACAGACCTTGGGGAGCCTACCCAGCCTCAATTTCCTCCTTCCTCAAATGAGTCAGCGTTCATGAAACTCCCTGGAAATAAATAAGCACAACACAAATGTGTGGCTTCTCTTCTGTCTCAGTATTAGGAGAAGTGGCACCCGCATCCAGCAAGAGCAGAGCTGGAGAGTCGTCTTTCTGATGGGAGCTGGGGGCATTTCTTTGGGTTTTTCCCACTGGACCTGGAGATGGGTGGAGAGAGGGAGAGGTGGGTGGCAGTTCCTCCGGCACCCCCTGCTCTCCTGCGGTTCTTCAGAACACTGGCAGGCAGTTCAGCACTAAGAGGGACACAGGAGAGATGGGGGAGGCTCCCTGTTGCCTCTGTGTCTGGCTTCTGGTCCCATGTTTGCTCTGGACAGCCATTCCCAGCCCCTCCGCTCACATCCCTCTTTGGCCTCCCTCTGGCTGCAGTGTCCCTGTGTCCACCGCCGACCACCCCCGCAGGGGCAGGTTTCCCTGGCTGGAACACCTCCTCTGCCTGGGATGCCCCTGCTGCCCGCTGCAGCCCTCTGGCCGGGACCTTGAAGTTTTCGGCACTTAATGCAAAACTTGAAGAGCAACTCCAACCAGAAAAGCTTCTAAATGGGTATTTCCAAACATCTCTCGCAAAATCCCAAAGGTGGCATAAAGCACTTTGGGTTTGACTCACAGAACTGTTGAATCAGCTTATGTTTTGCAAAAGAAAATAAGAAAATTTTGAGTTTACAAAGCTCAGTGGGATAGAAGTAGATGTGTGAAAGGGGGTGGAGAATAGCTCTGTTTGTAGCATTGGTTGGACTAGCATCTTTCCTCTACAGCGTGGAAAGTATTTCAAACATAAAAATACCTAACATCCGTCAAGGGTTCACCATAGACTAGACACTGGGTTAGGCGCTTTACACGGATCATCTCATTTCCTCCTCACAAGAGCCCCATGAGACAGGTATAATAATTCTTCCTATTTCACATTTGAAGAAACTAAGGCAGTAGAGGCTTTAACTTGCCCAGTGTCATAAGTGCACAGGGTGGGAGCCAAGAGTCAGATGAGGGCCTCCGAGGGTGGAACCTACACCCTCAGCTCCCAGGCTTGGCTGCCCTGAGCCATGCGGGGGTTGGCTGAGTAAATAAAATGGGCTTTCTGCTACCAGGGAGTACCTGAGGCTGGGCAGGATTTGAAAGTCTTGGGAAAAGGTCACAGCCAGGATGGGATTTCCAGGCTCCAGACCACCAGATCTCAAATCTATCATGTTCTGGAAACTAAGAGGCCCTGGCTCATAGAATGCCATGTTCTCAGGATAAAAGCGGAAAATAATTGCGTTCCTTCTGACTCCCATCCCCTCAAACCTGCTCTGTGGGAACAGTCCCTGCCCCACCCTCAGACAAAATTCATAATGTGTAGCATAGTGTCCTGGTTCCCGTGGAAAATAAAAAAGTTTCCAGGTACTTTTGGTCCTTTCAGTAATAAGAGCACCCAGTCCAATGTAAAATCAACATCCAGAAGCTTTTCCTCATCCCCTAGCTGAGAAACTTGAATTTGGAGAGTCAGCTTCTTTGCTCATCTCTCTCCTCCTCTTCCTCCCCTCTGGCCTCTGCTCGGCCTCCACTAGGTGCACCTGACTCTTCCAGGGGCTGACGCAGGGAAAGACATGGGCACGGGGTGGAAACGTTTCCGCTGACTGGCAGGGGCGCCTTTCGCAGCAGATGCCCAGCGCTGTCTGAG